TTGCCAGAACAGTTATGTCTTGCAATGAGAGAGAGCTGAGTATCTGAGGGGAAAAAAAAAATAGGCGAAGTAGAAACATGTGCTGCTCTCAGACATTTCTTAAGACAATCCCTTAATCCCTGTATTTTCATATGCTAGTTCTGAAGGGGATGACAGACTCTTCTGCTGACTGACACACCAAGAACAAGTTTGAGGCTCCTCAGACACTACTCTGAGTAGACACTACTCTGTCTCAACTGCCCAGGCAGGGCTAGAGGGGCTCTCCATTATGTTCACAGAGCTCCTCTTTCTACCACTATGTTGGCACATGTCACAATTGCAATATCATTTCTTTACATGCAAATGGATACCAAATGATAAGAAAGTAAGAACCAGATACTCATGTACTAAACTGGACTGATATGTTTACATCCTCTCCCCCAAATTCATACATTGAAATCCTAACTTCCATGTGGTCATGTAAGGATGCAGGGACACTGATGGTGGAGCTCCCATCAACGGGATTAGTGCCCTTATGAAGAAAAACTCTGGAGAGTTCTCTAACCCTCTTTCTGCCATACAAGGAGAAGGTGGCAATCTGAAACCCAGAATAGGGCCCTCACCAAAATGCAACCATGCTGCCACCTTGGTCTCACCTTCTAGGTCTCAGGACTTTGCAAAATAAATTTATGTTGTTCATAAGTCACCCAGTCTATGGTACTTTGTTATACTGACTCAATAAATGGGCATCAATTCATTCATTACTAACTTAAATGATAAATTAATGCATAAGGAAAGTGAGACCCAGACTTGTTAATTGACTTTGGAACAGCTGCTTTGTGACAAAGTAAATCTCCCCAAAATCCTTCAAATATTTTTTGAATATATAATCTAGCAAAGAATTTTACTATAACAAGAAAAATTCTACAATAAGACTGGCAATGACTTATTACATAATGCAAATGTGGGCTTCCAATTAGCTGTTTTCTTTTTTAATATTTAAGCAATAACACTGTTCTTCATACTATGGAGAAAAGTTGACACTTTGGAGCAAATATAAAAAATAATTCCATTCCGTTTTCCACACATATGTATCATGGTTCGTCTGTGTTCCTGATACTGTGCTGGGACAGAAAGACAAATGAAGCAGATCTAACTCCTGAGGAGCTTGCTATCTAGTAGCACTTACTGGAAAACCTACATATTCCTTTGTTTTAAAAAACAAATACAAGATTTTCTTGAGAGAATTTTTTTTCCACAGAAAAATAATGCATGTATTTTTAAAAAGTTAAGGGAAAGCTCCTGAAAACAGAGATGCTGTAAAGGAAGAGAACAGCAGTGACCCTAAGTTCTAGTACCTCTCCCTGGGTGGCTTCCCACCAGCCTGGTGCTTTGCAGAGCTCTTCACTGCTTTAGAGAGTATTAAAGATTATTAACTGAATTCTTGGCATTCTTTCTTAACCCATCATAGTCCATATCCATTCTGAGGAACAAACCAGACATTCTCTGCTTTCTGTGTTCCAGAAAACTCCCAACTTCCCAGGCAATGCTGATGGTATAGGTTCAGGCACCAGATTTTCAGATGTCCCCCTCCCCGTAAAAGCAACTCTCTAACAATATAGAGAGAAATAATGGCTAGGAAAGTCATCTCTTTCTAGCATCAGTGACCTGCCACAACATCCACGTATGCATCACACGGCAACTTGTACCTCACCCCTCCATGCTCATTCCTGGAATTTACTTTCTCTTCCACAAATAACTTTACAGACATGTGACCTGGACAGACACACAAGTTCTGCTCTTAAACGGGCCTCATACTTGGTTAAATGTCCTCTGTCTGTCATAGGAAAATAGTTAATTTTTAACAAAGGATTTCTCATTTTTTTTTATTTTGCACAGGAATCACAAATGATGTTCTTGTGACCTCAGACTCTTGAAATCTAAGATCAAGATTGTACAGTTTCCATATTAGCACAGTGTCCAACTCCCATAAGGTATTTTCATCCCAGGCATTACCATAAAAGCATACTGAAGACAAAATAGTGACTGACCTTCAAGTGCAACAATTCTCCTAGGTGAGGTAAGGACCATGATAAAGGGATTCCTTTGGATTCCATCGCAGACTCAAAGAACCAATAATTTCCAACACAGTGCCAGTTAGAAAGGTTGCTCTCCCTTCAGTCACAGTCCATTGATACACTAGTCCAGTCAGAACTGTTCTTAGGGTCTGCCAAACGTCCTCCTGGGTAAGCAAATGAGGGTAAAGGGGACTAAGGGGATGGGGTATAGTTCTCTTACTATATACACATGATTACTAGATATTACTGTACAACTATAATAGGTCTCAAAACCTGAACCTGTAACATCAACATTTCTTTAGAAACACAGGTTTCTTTCCACCCTCTAAAGAGATGGTAGGGAAAGTGTTTGTATTAAAAATGACTATCATTTGGAGCTGGGGTTGTGGCTCAGTGGATTTGTTAGAACTGTTCAACCTCAACCCTTCTGAATCAATCATAGGGGCAGGGGTAGCAACCTGTGTTTTAACAAATATCCAGGTGATTCTGATACCTCTGAAAACTACTGGCTTCTTATACATAAAAGAAACCAATACTTCTAGTTGCAAATATATAGCATCAGTTGTGATAAATGTCCTATACCATTCAACCTATTGAGGAAAGTTACATTTATTCATTCATGTACTTCAATCATAGTTACTTTTATACATATGCTAAGTGTGGTGTGTGTGTGTGTGTGTGTGTGTGTGTGTGTGTGTGTGTGTGTGTGTCTGAAGTAAGCCAGGCACTGGAATGGATATAAGACTAATTGTGTGTTGTAAAAGGGTTTACAACCTAATGGACAGAATAAGAAAAGCAAATTTATAGACAAGAATAATACTGCCCAGAATTCAAACTAAGTACCAGAAAGTGTACTATGGGCATGACTAAGAGGAGAGAAAACATGGAGTTTATGAAAACAGGGTTAGCAACATTTAGCAAAAGCACTCCATAACTGGAATTTTGACATGTAGTAATAGGGAAAAGAACCTTCCCACACAGGAAAAACATAAAGGCATGAGTTGGGAAAGAATAGTGTATTTCCAGATGAATGAGTAATTCTCTTGTGTTGGATTTGAGTTCTATGAAAAGGATTAATCTGAGAATAAACCAGAATAATAGTATGAGGCCAACTTTTGGAGTAAAGGCCTTGGGTTGCAAGGTGGAATTCAGGCTTCTCAGAATGAGGGTGAAAACAGTATTCTGAGTCCTGTAATGGGGGTGAGCAGCGCTCATTCCTTCAAATTCCTGCTTAATCTTAGCCACATTTCCACTGTATGATTCCCCAAGAAAACAAGTAATCAGTCTGTGATGCTATTTTCACAAAGAGAAAAATACATTTGTCCTTTTATTTCAAAGGTAAAGTCAGTTGGGCAGAAATGTGTTGAGAGCCACGTGGCGGCAAAAGCAATTGCTGCTCCATCCTTTTGAACTAGATGCTTCTTTATGGTCTTGCCAGACAATGCAAAAGATGCTATTTGTAAATTGCTTTTTTATTTTTTCACATTGAAATCTCTCATAAGGACAGGTTTGTTCTGGTTTTTGTTTATGGCTTTTTTTTTTTTTTACGTTACAAGTAATTTGTAGTTTGGAGAGTTTTTGAGCAAGGGTGTGTTTAAGCTTCCACTTTTAGACACTAGACTTCCAACTCATTTTCTCTCTCCACCCTCATTTCCTGTGTGGTGTCGTGGATGGATTAATAGGCATCCTCTTTAAATCCCTGGGCAAGAGACATCTGTGACAACATGATGGGCCCTAAGGAGAGGGAGTAATATCACTTGTTAGCTAGCTTTTAAGCTTTTTATGCTGACTTCATTACACTCACTCTTCCTGACTTTTCTAAGGCAAGGTACAGAAATGTAGACAAATGGATTATAATAAGCAAAACAACTTATTAAAAATGTGTATGTGCTTAGAAAATAATTAATCTTTTAAATGTTAGTTCCTGAGGGCAAAGACTATCTATGGTTAATTCTATACAGCATTCAAATGCTTTGAAGGCCTCATTTTAAAAGCAATGCAAAAATAGCTAGGAAAATGTAAATTAGTACTACTTCTATGGACAGCAATTTGGCAATGAAAATGCAGACTTAAAATACATCTAAAATGCAGGCCAAAAGTTATAGTTGTAGGATTTTTATCTTATAGAAATACTCAAATAGGCAAAATGGCTCTGTATAAGGTCAGCCAATAAAGTATAAATTATAATAACAATTTTTTAAAAGATTGTGAACAACCAAAATGACCATAAATAGGTAAATGATTGAATAAAGAACATTTGTAGAACACTTGGTAACGAGAGCAGGGGAGGAAGAAGTACTTTATATACTAATATGGAAAGAGCTCCATCATATACAGTTCCTGACAAATGACAGAGACAGCATAATGTGGTCAGTATATTAACATAAAAAATCAGGGACAAGGATTTATATGCTGATTTATAATTAATAAATAAATACAAGACCAGGCACAGTGGTATGTGCCTGTAATCGCTGAGATTCAGGAAGCTGGGCAGGAGGATCACAAGTTCCAGACCAACCGGGGAATTTAGTGAAACTCTGTTTCAAAATTTTACAAAATATAGCTCAGTGGTAGAATGTTCCTGTGTTCAATCCTAGTACCAATAAACAAATAAACAAAAGTATTCAAGAAATGTAGATACAAAACAAAGATAACATTGACAACTTCTGAGGAAAGGAACTAAGTGGTTGAGAAAACAGTTGGGGGGCTGGAGATGTGGCTCAAGCGGTAGCGCGCTCTCCTGGCATGCGTGCGGCCCGGCCCGGGTTCGATCCACAGCACCACATACAGACAAATATGTTGTGTCTGCCAAATACTAAAGAATAAATATTAAAATTCTCTCTCTCTCTCCCTCTCTCTCACTCTTTCTAAAAAAAAAAAAAAAAAGAGAGAAAACAGTTGGGAGACTTTTCACTGCATACCCTTTTGTGCCCCTTAGGTTTACAGCTGCATGAATGTGTTGTCTATATAAAAGTAAATGGCCCCTATCTCTGAATATTACAAAAATCAACTTGAAATAACAACTTAAGTATAAGGTCTGAAACTACTAGAAGAAAACAGAAAATACTTCAAGACATTGGAATGGACAAAGACTTTTTCAATAAGACCCCAAAGGCACAGGTAAGAAAAGCAAAAATAGACAAATAGGATTATATGAAACTAAATTTCCTGCACCATAAAAATAATCAACAAAATTAAGAGATCAACTGTAGAATGGGAGAAAATATTTACAAACTGTCTAAAAAGGGAATAATATCCAGAAAATATAAGGAACTATAAAAACTCAATAGCAAAACAACAAATAATCCCATTTAAAAAAAATGGGCAAGGGCTCTAAATAGGCATTTGTCAAAGAAAACACATAAAAGAGCAACAGGTACATGAGAAATTTGTCAAGGTCACTAATCATTAAGGAAATGAAAATCAAAACCTCAACCAAATAACATCTCATCACTTTTAAAATGGCTAATATCAAAAAGACTAAAGATAATAAGTTCTGGCATGAATGTGGAATAAATGAGTCCTTTCAAACTGTTGTGGGAATGTAAATTAGTGCAATGATTACAGAAAACAATATGGAAGTCCTCAAAAATTAAAAATAGAACTACTATATTATCCAGAAATCCCACTACTGGGGAGTTATCCAAGGAAATGGAATAAATCTGTCAGAGACATCTGCACTCCAATGTTTACTGTAGCACTCTTTTGACAACTTCAGAGAAATGTAAATGTCCATTAACTGAGGAATGAATTTAAACATGTGGTAAATACGCACAATGGAATACTATTCAATCATAACAAAGAATGAAATTCTGTCATTTAGGACAACATGAAAAAAACTGAGATCATTATGTTAAGTAAAAGAAGCCAGGGACAGAAAGATAAGCACCATATGAGCTCATATGTAGAGTATAAAAAAGTTGATCTCACAGAAGCTGAGAGTAGAATGGTGTTTACTAGTGGCTGGGGAATATAAAGAAGAGGGGGTTGGAAAAGGTTAATCAATGCACAGTAAGTTACAGTTAGATAGGAGTAAGAAGTTCTGGTGTGCTATTGGACAGTAATGTGTCTCTAGATGATAATATACTGTATATTTCAAAAATGTAGAAGAAAGGGTTTGAATGTTTTCACTATAAACTATAAATGTCTAAAGAGATAAATAATGTTGCACCTGATTCAAATATTATACCATGTTTACAGGTATCAAAACATCACATTGTACGCCATAAATAGGTATGATTCATGTATTTTTATGTGGCAGTTAAAAATTAATTTAATTTAAAAATTAAATGAAGTAAAATAAGATTTCTGAACAGGTTTTTAAAATTAACTAAATTATCAGCCTAAAAAGTAAAATAGAAAATCTCATTTCTCTTAATCCTTCTGAAAGACTGTCACTTTGAAGTTCTTTTTCATAAATACTCAACAAAATTTCTCCAGTCTAAAAAAAAAAATAAAGGGCTGGGGATGTGGCTCAAGCGGTAGCGCGCTTGCCTGGCATGCATGTGGCCCCCGGGGTTCAATCCTCAGCACCACATACAAAACAAAGATGTTGTGTCTGCTGAAAACTAAAATAAATAAATAAATATTAAAAAATTCTCTCTCTCTCTTTAAAAAAAAGGTACATCAATAACTAAAAAATATTTTTAAAAAAATAAAATAAAATAAATAAAAATAAAAATAAATAAATAAAAGGAAAAAAATAGAGACCAGGAACGTAGCTCAGTGATAGAGCACTTGCCTAGCATGGACAGGGCACTGGATTCTATCCCCAGCACCACAAAAAAAATAAAATAAAAATTGAAAAATAGATGCTAGATGATAAGTAGATTTGGATAGATATAGATAATGAACAGACAGATTAGATGAATAGATGGTTAGGTAGATAAACAGATAGATAGATAAAATGTTTTATCCTGCCAAGTAAGAGAAAAAGATCCAAGTATCACTTTTACCCAAAAGAATCAAAGCTAAAAAAATAAAGGCATTGTCTGTTCGTGGTGCTATAACAAAATAGACTGGCGAGTTTATAAACAACAGAAATTTATTTCTTACAGTCATGGAGGCTGGGGTGTTCAAGATCAAGTTGCCAATAGATTAAGAATTCAAAGAGGGCCTGCTTTAGAACCTTCTTCCCAGATCATAACATGGTAGAAGGGGAAAGACATCTCTCTTAGTCCTCACTTATAAGAGCATTAATTCCATTTATTCTATTAATTCCATTCAAAGGTCCTACCTTCAAATACTATCATCTTGAAAGTTAAGATTTCACATGATTTTTAGGGAGACACAAACTTTCAGACCATAGTAGACAGGTAAGAAAATGTCACTGAAACAGTGATCTTAAAAAAGGAGGACAATATGTGAAAGTAGAAAGGGGATTAATAAGCCAAGTTATTTATTTTGATTTTCTCATTTCAGGGAAAATGTCATGCAGTCTAGTAATTCACATACAGTAAAAAAAATCAATGCCCCCAAATAAACCAGTTGCTCAATAAAAATTAACCATTCTCCCAATGGATATGCAATATTTTGCAATAAAATAAAAAGAAAGTCATTACATGTGACCTTATAAAGAAAACATATCATGACATGTAATGAGTAAGTGAGCCAACAACATCTTCACAGTAATTATTGTATTAATAACATGAAGGTATCATGATAACAAACATAATTGAACAAAAACTATTGTATGAGGGACCAAAACTATGGGTCCCATATGAAAGTCCTGTTATAATCTGTTTTAATTAAGAATGGATTCAGATCATCTGAGAAAAGCAAGGATTACATATTCTTTGAAGCTGTTCTCCATAAATATTACTTTTCTCAGTAGGCTACTGCTTCATACAGAGTGATTGTGAATTTAATGTTATAGTTTCTGACACATGCCTAGAGATATTAACAGGTACAGCTGTAGGACAGAACAATGGATTCTAATCATCAGCAAAGTTCATCCAGAATTAATATCCTTTAACTAAAGCTGAAGAGGCTTTCTGTCCCATGTGGGAATATAAATTTTAGCTTCTTCTGCATAAAAGTAAGTTAAGAGAGGTCAAGTCTTTCCTTGAAAATATTTTAGGCCCATTCCAAAATATGCACAAATACAGTAATTGATGGGCAAAAATTTACCAAAATTTAACATTTTTGCCTGAAAAAAAAATACAGCCAAATGTATTTTTAGTCATTTTGGGGGGAGGGCAGGGGGTACCAGAGATTGAAGTCAGGGGAACTTGACCACTGAGCCACATCCTCAGCTCTATTTTGTATTTTTATTTTAGAGACAGGATCTCATTGAGTTGCTCAGCACCTTGCTTTTTGCTGAGGCTGGCTTTGAAATTGCAATCCTTCTGCCTCAGTCTCCCAAGCCGCTGAAACCACAGGCGTGCACCACCTTACCTGGCCCCTTCAAGCCATTTTTTAAAGTAGTCAGAGGATATTTAAACCTGAGCAAATGACTTCATGGTAAAGGACCAAAAATAAACTGGTTACAAAATGTATGCCTTGGTAACTAAATCAGTTGACTTGCAGTAATGGATATAAGCAAGCAAAAACCCGGTTACATGCTAGTGGATGCCTAACTAAGAAATCTGGTTTGGCTATATTTTATCCAAAGTTACTCTTTCCGGCAGTGTATTGGTTAGAATAAATTTAAACCTCATTTAACAGAAAGACCAAAATAACCTTGTCTGAAACAAAAGAATTTTATTTCTCTCTTACATAAAGAAGTCCTAGGGCTGGTGCAATGTCTCCATAGTCATCAGGACCAAAGTTCCTCCTCCCTTCCTTCTGAGCATCCTAGATGATATCCATCTTCAAAGACACCCACATAATCCAAGATGGTGGCTTTGGCTTCTTCCCACATAACCACTTTACAAATATGAAGAGGGGAGAGAAAAGGGACCACAATTCTCAACTGAGTGCTGGAGAAATACAAATTAAAAGCAAAATCTCTGAATCCAGAAATCCTTCCAACAAAGGTAGTGGAGAAAGAAAGCATTTATTTTTGAATAAGCATGAAACCATAATGCACATCACAAGCAATATGATAAGATTGAAAAGACAGAGTAAGACCTCACCCTTCATGTAGCCAAATGCACAATCCGTTACATACATGTTCTCAAGATAAATAATGACTAGTTTTCAAGTAATAGGACTTGTCCCTTACATTTTATTGCACTTAGTTCAGCCTAAATCTAGCTGGTAATTGAAGTTGGTTAACTGACTGTAAACAAAGGAAAAATAATGATCAATTTCTTGGGGACAAGAGATAGTTTTACAACTTGTCACCAGGTTAAAATTATCTCCTGCATAATGTGGGGGATACAGAACTCTTCTCCTTTGCTATTTACATTTAGAGGTGATGGATCCCCAAGTTTTGAGGACCTGTATTCCTAGACCAATCTTTTTAAAAAGATTTGTACTTTCCTAAGAGGCAGGAAAGTACTTCCAGTTACAAGTTTCCAAAATAAATGCTCTGAGCTAAGGGAAGGGAAATCTCTAGCTTTACTTTGAACAGGGAAAATTAAGCCTCTTACTTTTAATTTGCATTTTTCTTACATGTATCAATTTCCTTTGAGGAACATTTTTGGAAATCTCAGAAAAATTTCCATTTATATCTTATTAGCCAGTACTTCCTTAAATGGATACACTTAGCATCCCAGACAGCTGCAGGACAGTCTTTTAGTTGGGTGCATTGCTTCATTTAAAAAAGATAGATCAGGATTCAACTCTAAGAAAAATTTGATTTTTCCACTGGTAATATTTAGGTAGCAGATCAAGTTGCCTATTGTATTCTTGTTATAAAACAATAAAATATACCATCTATAGAAGAAATTATTACCCTTCTATAATTCTTTTTTTGGTAATAGGAGATTGGAAAAGGTAAGATCCATCAAAATTATCTGAGATGATTCCTTACTTAGAACTCCAGTTTAAAAACTGTGATAGACGAAAGTTTTGCTGGAAATGAACTTGTTTGTATTCTGTTATGTAATATCAGCTGACCCAGGAAGAGGCCACTCTTACTAATTTACTACTTAGGTATAGCTTTTATTCATATTCGTAACCAGTGAGCATCCTACTTACAGTAGGAAGAAAAGCATATAATACTTCTGAATTGT